TACAAAATATATAGTTTTAATCTATCTTTCAAGAAATAACAGAAACAAATAATTATTAAATTTAATGAGGGAAATCAATTTATTGTTGCTTTTCTTTGTATAGATAGTCTAATGTAGAGTTTTATGTATGAAAGTGTATTACAAGATGTAAATTGCATCTTATATACTAAAATAGCCATTTCTTTAGTGATTTAAATTACATATCATTGTGTCTCTCCAAATTATTGTTTGCATATTATGTATAATATATCATATACCGCGGTACTTAAACCTCTTCCCTGAATTTGTATGTTGTAAGTAAATATTTTTCGTTTTCCTCATGTATCATATATTTTAAGTGGTTTTGAGTGGATAAATGAACTAACACTTGAACTATAAGTTAAAAAAAATCCATTCGATATTATCCTCAAGACTTATAGTGCGCATATAGTGGCCTAAGATTTACACAGATTCAATTTAGTATAAGGAGTTGCATATGTGTGCAAATAGATTTCTTTCCTTTCGTAAACTCTATTTGCTATTCGTAATCTCTGCAATCAAAGAAAAATAAAAAAGGTAAAATCTTATTTTTAAACAATATTTATTTACTCAAAAATAAATGTTTCTGGACCAGTTAATATTTTCAGATAAAAGACTTTTACTCTTTATCTTTGCAGAACCTCTATTTAACCCAAAAACAAAAACTCTATAATTGTTTATCATAAAATCAATTACCAAAAATACATCTTATATCATATATAAAATTTTGTAACTTTTTTTCTTTGTGCATGTATAAAGTACACTGGTTCCAACTTCGTGAATTTGTCTCTTCAAAGAGATTTGTTTCTTAGAAATTCTGTACATCTAATACCTTTATTTGGTGCAAAGGTGGGCGTTTAAGATTTTTTTTCAAAAGAATTAGAAGCTTTGGTGTGTTTTAAAAACCTTTTCAATCTAGTTATCCCTGTTCACTTAATTCTGAGTAATTGCTGTATGTGCATTTTTCATTTGTGCACTCTTTCAAATCTGTAAATTATAATATTAAAATTTAGATAGAACTTATATCATTCTGAGCAAATTTGTGCGCAAAGCTAAAAATAATTTACGGTGCTTTTTTTCTTAAATGTGTGTCATAAACAAGAAAAATCTGTTATATAAAAATAAATTTGATATATAAGATCTTGAGATATCAAATCCTCAGAAGATTTTCTATTTGAGAAAATTCATAATGACATTCTCAAAGATATTCTAGGTGCATATAGAAAAGCATCAAATTAAGAAGTCAATGCTAAACTAGGTTTTTATCCACTTTACCTTTTATATATATGAAAAGATATAGACACTTGCTGATCTTTATCATTATAATAATTCTTTATAAATTTCTTTAAGACAACCTTAACAAACATACAAAACAAAATCCCGCAAATGCACTTAAATTAACTTAAATATTATTTAATTTCTAATTTAATATTTTACTTTATATATAATTGATATTGCACCATTCTATCTAGTGGCTTTTTAGGCAAAAAAAGGATCACTCATTATGAGCAATGTACATGTATTCACACGTGTTTCATTGATAACGCAGTGGTTCTTGAGAGTAGTCCTCTAGAGTGATGCAGTCATACATGTTTATAAACCCAAACAGAAAGGTCGTGAAATTTAACACCGAAAAGTTATCATTCTATTGTAAGTAAAAAGAAATTATATTTAAAAGCAGATATATCACTAAGATGAAATAATTGGTAGATATAAAAAGCACATCTTTAAGGATGTTTCAATTTTCTGATGAACTAATAGATCTGTTTCTTGCTAAATTGTAAAACTTGACTTAAATATAGATGTTGATAAGAATTAAAATGTAACAAAAATATATCAGGAAATTATTTTGCACAAATTAACAAATATAATCAGCATACAAGAGGTCAATTTTAAATCATTATATAACGACAAAAGGTAAATGGTAAGAAAAGAAAATGTTGCAGTTAATTCTCCATAAATTTTGTCAAGGCCTTAGCTGTTTCAATCAATCAGATTTCCGCGCACGGCATCCTATTTATATACTTCTCTGTTTACTCGGAGTGCTGCCGCGAAATTTTTTTGGACAAAAGTCAACCACCACCTCCACTCCATCCCCCACATTTTTTTTTATTAACCACATTATTTTTACATGTGTTTCCGGAGGCGCTTTTTATGCACTACTTTTGTTTCCAATAAAGTTTGATGTTGTATTTTACCGCATTATCACATCTGTATGTTGTAACAATATTGTGGCTGGGAGACCACTGTTTTGTAATCATTTATTGAACTGCATTTCTGGTCAAGCTTTCCATGATTCTGGTATATCTCCCAGCCAAATTCTTTGGTAATTGTTTATACACTTAACATGTCTTCTGTTATGAATTTTGGAAACAGAGCTTCTATGTTGCCTTGGTCTGCCAGTAAAGTTTTAACATAAAACCATTTGAGTAGTCTAAAGTTCTGTGGGTGTTTTAAACATGTAACACAAACATACACGTATCTTTCGATATTTGAGTACGTACAAGAAAATGATTCATACAGCATCTAATGTCACAGCCAATATCAAAATGTAAGGGTTTTTCTTTGTATGTATATTAGATGTAAGTCGGAGAGAAACAAAAATTGTAGGCACCGTTTATACATGTAACCTTTCTTATATGAACATCGGTTTGTATTGTTTTCTTGTTTACAAAATCCATATTTCAAGAAATGACAGAAACAATTAATGATGGAATATAACGAAGGAAGTCAATTCATTGTTGCTTTTCTTTGTATAGAGAGTCTACTGTAGAGTTTTATGTAGGAGAGTGTATTATAAGGCGTAAATAGTATTTTATATACTAAAATAGCCACTTCGTTACTTTCTGATCTAAATGACATATTGAATCAATGTTTGTACATTATGTATACATGTATATCATATACTTAAACCTAATCTGAATTTACATGTTGTAAATATTTTCGTTGTCCTCATGTACCATATATTTTAAAAACCATTCGATTCAATGCCCAGTTATTTTAATATCAATTCAGTTAATTCTTGAATTAGAATTAGCATGTCTCAAGAATTGCAGTGCACATATAGGGGCCTATGATGTACAGATTCAATTTTATATAAGGGGTTGCATATATGCCAATATGCCAATATTTTTTTTTCATTTCTTGAACTCTATTTACTATTCAATATATCTGCTATTCAAGAAAAATAAATAAAGTTAAAATCTTAATTTAAAAAATATTTAGTTAAACTCAAAAATAAATGTTTTTGAAATGTTTATATTTTAGGTAAAATACTCTTACTCTTTATCCTCGCGGAACCTCTATTCAATTCAAAACAAAAACTTCTATGATTGTTTATCACAAAATTAATTACCAAAAATACATCTTTTCATATATAAAATTATGTAAAGGTTTTTTTCTTTGTGCGTGTATTAAGTACACTGGTTCAAACTTCGTGGATTTGTCTCTTCAAAGGGATTTGTTTCTTAGAAATTCTGTACATTTAATACCTTTATTTGGTTGAAAGGTGGGTGTATAAGATTTTCTTTTTTAAAAAAGCTTTAGAAGCTATGGTGTGTATGAAAACCTATTTAATCTAGTTATCCCTGTTCACTTAAATCTTAGTAATTGCTGAATGTGCATTTTACATGTGTGCCCTCTTTCAATTTCTGTAAATTATAATATTAAAATTTAGGTAGAAGTTATATCATTTTGAACAAACGTATGCGCAAAGCTAAACAAAATTTACGATGCTTCTTACCTGGTATATACAAATATACAAATTTAATATTAGAGTTATAGTTATTAAATCTCCAGAATGTTTTCCACTTCAAAATTCGAAATCACATTTCAAAGATACCGTATATCCGGGTTTTTTTGTGTTGGAGATTTTGCGAAAAAGAGGTAGATTAGTACAGTTTTCATTTTGCCTAAGTTATTTTTTACGATTGAAGATTTTTTTTTGTTTAAAATGGTAATGTTTTATGTCACATTATAGCTGACATAATTTCAGCGTGTTTCATATTTTGCGAATTAAAAATGGTCGCAAAAATGCGAAAATTAGATCATCGCGAAATAACCCGGATTAGGGTATTCTAGGTGTATAAATAAAAGTATCGAAGTTATTAGTCACTGCTAAACAAGGTTCCTATTCACTTTACCATTCATTTTTATGAAAACATGTTAACTGCATATAATAATGCACTTTTAATATTAGCTTTCAAAGAGGAGAAAGAGTTAGCTTTGAAAAAAGTTATACTTCATGGCAAAGCAAGATTTTCAATCTTCAACAAAAATAAAACTTGACATCTTTAAATATTTTTAACAAGGATTCGAGATTTATTTGAAAAATTGAGAGGAATCTCATTTTCTTAGGCAGGAAAACTTTATTTCGATAGTTAAATTTTAAACTGTACTGATTTTTAATTACAGTATTACTTAGTTTCCTTGAAAAAGCCAAAAAGATCACAGCTTACAAAATTTAGAATCAGTGCACATTCACTTTATTCATTGAATCAGGAAGATATTGAAAACCTATAATCCCGGTTATGTTATGCTTGCAATTTATTGGTTGAAATTTAAAAAAAAAAACAATTGAACTTTACTACCCTGTGTATGACAATATTCGATTTCAATATTGTAATATTTTTGATAATAAATAAAACTAGGGTACCGATCCCATTAGAGAAATTGATTACCCATCTAATTATAATACTACAAAACATTTATATTACTACATAGATAAATGTTTTTACAGAAAAAACAAATCCAGGGACTATAAATAAGAAATATGCAAAATTATATAGCATGCTATAACCATTATGTTATTATAAATGTTCTGATATATTCTATTTGATTTCTTATTTTGACTGTATACGAATATGGTGATGTCGATGAATTGAATAAAGAAAAAAGAATACATACAGAATTTAACTTCTCGTTTAACTTATCAAAACTTCGAAATCGATGAACATGTAGAATAAAGCATGTTCTTTACTTACATTTCACAAAAGAATCTTTTACAACTGTTGTTTTAATCTAAATCAGCGAGTAATCATCCATCGTTAACTTCCTGGTGATATAGCGTTGTTTTTTATGTGTTAAGGTTAAAGTACACTTTTTGAATATGTTATCTTTAATAATCTAAGAACTGTACTTGTACTACTGCTTTTGATGTATGCATATGTGAAAATTCTAAGCATAATAAATAAAAAATCTTATATAGTCAGTTGGAAGATACACGTGTCTGGAGGACCCTTAAGTGTAAGGAATTCAAGTTCGATAAAATGAAGGGTAGTGTCATCTTTCAAAAGGGTAGAGAATTAAGAATAAGAAAAATGTAATCACATATTTCAGAAATATTCATATTGCAGTCCGATCCTCGGGTTCATAAAATCAGCATTTAAGTAGTTGAAAATGCCCACAAAATTTTTTCATAAAAATGTCAATAAAATTTGAATATGTACGAGGATTGATCCAAAAGTAATACCTCAGTGTCATTTTCTTTTATATCATATTCCTATTATCAAAAAAATATACCAAAATATGCTCCTATACAAATGTATTCAGCACAACAACTATTTGCTTAATAAATCTTTTTAAAAAAGACAACATCATTTTATAATAATAATTATAATAACCAGTTGTAAATTAAATGACGTTATTGTTATTTTGATTTTAAACTATGTGTTTTACTCTGATGCTATGAACAAGGAAAGTATCCAAATGGGGAAAGTACACCGCAACAGTGTAATGCATTTTGTATTTTAACTTTAAAATGGGAAAAAGTAGAGAAAGTTACGTTGATTAATCAGACTCACAGTATTTAATTTCAGAAACTTGTGCATAAAGGGAATTAGTAATTTTGGGGATGCCCTAACAAAAAAATACTATAGTTAACTATAGTTAACTATAGTTAACTATAGTTTACTATAGTTAACTATAGTAAATCAAAGTGTCAAAGTTTTCGCCAAAGTTTTTCAAAGTTTCAAAGTTTTCGCCAAAGTTTTTCAAAGTGTCAAAGTTTTCGCCAAAGTTTTTCAAAGTGTCAAAGTTTTCGTCAAAGTTTTTCAATGTATCAAAGTTTTCGCCAAAGTTTTTCAAAGTTTCAAAGTTTTCGTCAAAGTTTTTCAAAGTGTCAAAGTTTTCGCCAAAGTTTTTCAAAGTGTCAAAGTTTTTGTCAAAGTTTTTCAAAGTGTCAAAGTTTTCACCAAAGTTTTTCAAAGTGTCAAAGTTTTCACCAAAGTTTTTCAAAGTGTCAAAGTTTTCATCAAAGTTTTTCAAAGTGTCGAAGTTTTCGCCAAAGTTTTTCAAAGTATCAAAGTTTTCGATAAAGTTTTTCAAGGTGTCAAAGTTTTTGCCAAAGTTTTTCAAAGTTTCAAAGTTTTCGATGGAGTTTTTCAAAGCATTCCCAGTTTTCGATAACGTTTTTTAAATTTTTCAGGGTTTCGATAAAGTTTTTCAAGTTTTTGATAAAGTTTTTCAAAGTGTCAAAGTTTTCGATAAAGTTTTTCAAAGTATCCAAGTATTTGATTAAGTTTTACAAAGTATCAGAGACTTCAATAATGTTTTTCAAAGGGTCAAAGTTTTCGATAAACTTTTTCAAAACTTTAAAGCATCCAAGTTTACAATAAAGTATTTCGAAGTATCCAAGTTTTCGATAAAGTTTTTCGAAGTATCCAAAATTTCGATAAAGTTTTTTGAAGTATCAAAGTTTTCGATAAAGTTTTTCAAAGTGTCAAAGTTTTCGATAAAGTTTTTCAAAGTTTTAAAAGCATCCAAGTTTTCGATAAAGTATTTCCAAATATCCAAGTTTTCGATAAAGTTTTTCAAAGTATCCAAAATTTCGATAAAGTTTTTTGAAGTATCAAAGTTTTCGATAAAGTTTTTCAAAGTGTCAAAGTTTTCGATAAAGTTTTTCAAAGTTTAAGAGCATCCAAGTTTTCGATAAAGTTTTTCGAAGTATCCAAGTTTTCGATAAAGTTTTTCGAAGTATCCAAAATTTCGATTAAGTTTTTTGAAGTATCAAAGTTTTCGATAAAGTTTTTCAAAGTGTCAAAGTTTTCGCCAAAGTTTTTCAAAGTATCAAAGTTTTCGCCAAAGTTTTTCAAAGTGTCAAAGTTTTCGCCAAAGTTTTTCAAAGTATCAAAGTTTTCGCCAAAGTTTTTCAAAGTGTCAAAGTTTTCGCCAAAGTTTTTCAAAGTGTCAAAGTTTTTGTCAAAGTTTTTCAAAGTATCAAAGTTTTCGCCAAAGTTTTTCAAAGTGTCAAAGTTTTCGCCAAAGTTTTTCAAAGTATCAAAGTTTTCGTCAAAGTTTTTCAAAGTGTCAAAGTTTTCGCCAAAGTTTTTCAAAGTTTCATAGTTTTCGCCAAAGTTTTTCAAAGTTTCAAAGTTTTCGCCAAAGTTTTTCAAAGTGTCAAAGTTTTCGCCAAAGTTTTTCAAAGTGTCAAAGTTTTCGTCAAAGTTTTTCAAAGTGTCAAAGTTTTCACTATAGTAAATCAAAGTTTTCAAAGTGTCAAAGTTATCACTGTAGTTAACTATAGTAAACTAAAGTTAACTATAGTTAACTATAGTATTTTTTTGTTAGGGTGGTGCTGGGTCAGTGAATGATTAGCAGCTAGGACAGTAAGACATGTACGTACATACCTTCATTATGTAAAGGGATATAAACACTCTGTCCTATGATACTGTTCAAAGAATTTTTTTTAAGTGAGTGTACGATGAGTATCAAGAATTCTTAAAGAACAGAAGTTTGTGAACGTGATCGACAATCTCAAATATTTTTTTAATCGGGAAACTTTTGAATGTATGATGGCGCGTATCTACTATATGACGATATTTAGATGCAGCGACTACCAAACTCTCACACTGTAAAAAAATCCATTTTTTTAGGATAAATCATATTGAAATAAAATTTTCAGGTCTGATTTGAAACAAAAGAAAGCTTATATTATTTATAATCTTGTTGTTTTACGTCGACTGCAATTTTATCCGAAGTGCTCGGTAAATTACATGTAAATTTTAAAATATACCAAAACCCTTTAGTTAAGCTTTTAAATTTTTTTTTTGGATTTATGTATAATCAATAAAGTTTATCTGTCAAATATGTTGCTCCAATATAACATTTATATATTTCATTTGCCTTCATAAAAGACGCTACGGTGTTCATGGGTGTATAAAAATTATAAATACATTTGCAAGAATAGATATTAAAATTTGTCATTATTCATTATATATTCCTTATAATGGCATTACTACCTATAAATATTGATAAAATACTTCACAGCAACAAATCTAAACCCTTGAAAATCAAATTTAATCATTCTGATCGAAACAATGAAATTTCATTATCACGACATATATGAAGTGCTCTGTCTGGCCAAACATGTAATTTTAATTTCAAATACAACTTTTAAAGATCAAAACAATTTTGATAAATAAAAATATGAT